TTACTTAATCAAGTGTCAGAAGAGAACAAGCTTAGTAAAAAGCTAACCAATTTGTTTGTGGAAGCTTGATTGTAAACTATCTGTTAATAAATCCCTAGCCTGTAGATGATATTGGCCAATTGACATACTACTTCATTTTGTGTGAGACTGTAATGATGAATTTCTCATCTAAAAATAAATAAGCAAACATCATATTACAAAAATAATTAATTTATATATTTTTAAGAATATGAAAAAAAAAAACACAATGTATTGTTTTCTTAAAAAAAATATTCCTTTAGTTTGACCTAATTAAATGATCTCGAACAAGAATAAATTTTTATTAGTTTTTATTTAAGAGCATACTTGCTTGATATCGAACAAGATTAAATTGAGAATAGATAAACCATATTTTTTTTTTTTAATTTTCAGTGAGTATGAAGTTTCGATTACTTTGTTTAGATTTGTGAAAAAAATTTTGTTGTTTTAAGGTTTATTGTTGCATTTATTAAGATATGAAGCTAGTTAACCATCTGTTTGGATTATGGTGAATAGTAAAATTTTAATGTATAGTATTTCACCAGCATAAGAAAACCGTATTTGTTTCAACTTCCAATGGTACAAATGATATTTGACTGATAAATTTTGAAATGAATTTTTAAACCACCGAATTGTTGGTATGTGACCAACATACTATTTGTTTTCCATTATACCCTCATCTAATTTAATTAATTTCATATTTATCTTGACAATTAAAAACTCTAATTTCTCTTCTTCCTCACTAAAGCCACATGCATGGATGACGAATCTTCTTCTTCTCCGATCGATTTTTTTCTTGTTCTTCTTCTTTGATTGCTTCCAAATGTTAATTCATTGATTCGACTTTTGATTTGCGTTTTTCATCTTTTCAATTGATAAATATTTTTTTAAAATTTTTTCAGCATCAATTTCTTTCATTTTTTCTTTGATTTGCATGTATATATTTCGTTTTTTCTTTGATTTACATGTATTTTTTTCTATAATAACCTATATCTGTGAATGAGGGTGAGATGAACAGTAGAAAGGGCTGTATGTGTGGGCAAGACTCGTCTCTCGTCTCGCCAAGTATTACATTCCTCTTAAGGACTCTGAGAAACACAAGATCAAATACGAGATATCAGTTTCTAAATTTTCGTCTTTTTCGTTTTTCATTTTAATTTTAATCCTTTAGAATTTTTTTTTTCCGTAATTTCACGCTAAAACTGAGGTTTTTGAATTTTAATTTTTCTAAGGTCATCGGTTAGTGGTGAATAGAGATCCAAAGTTCACAAATTTCGTTGAGGTTGGTTATTTTTTATACTATCTTTACTTACGGTTTTAGGATTTGAATTTGAATACTCTCTTCTTGAACTATTTTATTTATGAGAAAGTATGGCTAGTATAGCGCTAAAAATTGGAAATCTTAGAATCTCTCATTTTCATTTTCCAGAAATCCCTTTTTACGGAGAATAATAGCATAATGCCATACATCTGGTTTTTTTACGCTTAGAGAAATCATGAGCTTGTAGGACTAAGATGGATCAAAAGAAGGGAAAAAAGGTGATCAAGGTTCTTATTTTGGTGTTAAACATAGTTTCAAATACTACCTATAATAAGCTTGGGTTAAAAAGGTAGTGATTTCGAAGTAGCATTTTTATCCTGCATTATCACTGGTGATTGGATGATAGTATGTACAAACTCCTAGATATTTTCTTATGGTAAATTGTGAGATAAATCTTTTGTAATTTGCTTAAAGTCAGTTGTTTCCTACACCTTTCTTGAGATTTTGAATAATTCTGCTCCGTTAGAATTGATGATAGGATTCACGACACTTCAAATCCCTTCTCCCCCAACCAGAGGCTCAACTTTTTTGCTAAATTATGTTCATCATTTATTATGCTTTATGCCATAAATACTCATTAATGAATGTCAAAATAGCTGTAAAATTGTTTTGCCGTTGGCTTCTTCTGCAAGTATCTTATCTTGTTCTTTACATATTGTTTTTGGATATAACTATATGCTCTTTGATTTAATTTTATCAACTACTCAGTTTTGCACGCAAAAAGTAATCTATAGGCGGTATGCTGGGTTGTTCTTCTCATTGTGTGTTGACATAATGGATAATGAGTTGGCATATTTGGAATATATCCATTTATTTGTGGAGATATTGGATCATTTCTTCAGCAATGTGTGCGAGCTAGATTTGGTGTTTAATTTTCATAAGGTTTGGGCCTATATACTAGCATTGTTTATTCCCTGATGCTCTATATCTGGCTATTTTCCTCTTAAGCTCCATTGTTTGGGATTAGATGCCTGTTTTCTCATTTGGATTCATTTTAATCTGTACTATGACTGTGCTTTACGAGATTGAGTCTGCATTTCCTGTAAGGAATAGCTGGTGGTGGTTGTTGGTTTCTAGATCTTCCCTGTGAAAATAGGAACGGCGGCAAGTTTTCTATACGTATCATGCATACTAGTGATATCACCATAATCCATTTATATGGATGGCGTCCAAATATCTGATTAATGTTTCTGCCTCTACAATTTATTTGTTTGAGTGATGGCTAAATAATTCTGTTGGCTGTCATCACGTTACTGTACTGCCCAATGGCATAGAGATATCATATTATTGTCATCATATTATGCTTTGCAATATCAGCCTGGTACATGTCAAAGTTAGCTATGATTTACCATCCATATTCATACTTGATATGTCCTAATACGCTTTAAACCAGAGTTGACATTGTAGGAGAATTGTCTATTGATTGTTGCTATAGAACTTTGGAATTTATTATCCACCAGCTTGTTGTGCGTGCATATGAAGATGTTGATTTTGTTCATAGCTTGATGTTGCTCACTCTTATTTATAATTCAATTTAACTTGTTGAAGGTTTATTTGATACTTGATGAATTCATTCTTGCTGGAGAGCTTCAAGAAACAAGCAAGAAGGTTTGCATCTTTCTGCTTCTCTTTAATTATTATTTCTGTATCTGGTTTGTTTGAAATGAAATAGCTCTCTCTTCATTATATCAAAACCAGATAGTTTTTCTTCCTTCTTATAATAGTTGTATTTAGATTGAGAATTTGGAATACATAAGCTGTAGAGCATGTTGTGTCTCTTGCTTCGCTTGAAGATCCAAGTCCATCCTGACAAGAGATATTTCATGTCTAATCTAATTCCTAAGGCTCAGGCACCTTTTTTCATGGTGGAGCTCTGAACATCCGCGTCTACCACTCCGAGGCGTATAGAGTTTCTGCACCCACCTCCCCAAGACAGTTTCTTAAACATGCATATAGGAGATCTCTTGGTCAAGACATACTTTAAGGCAGGAATACTAACCGATCTTTGCTGTCTCTTGCAGGCAATCATAGAGAGAATGGGAGAGCTGGAGAAGCTAGTGTAATTATTCTATACTGCAAGAGTGTTTAAAAGTCTGCAATTTGTTTTGTAATTGTTTCCTTTTGTGGGTGATATTAATTTGTTATTTTGCACAGCCTTCTCACCCGTGAATGTCCAAAACAGAAAGATTAACAAGGAAATATTCTTTGTTTTAAGAAGTGCTATAATCTGTCAGCATTTTCCCTCCCCCTTTTAGCTGTTAGTAACAATTGCAGCATTAGATGATCATTCTGTAGGCAAGGCTGTATCTGGTATATTATCATATCTTGAGAAGAACTCATTTGTGATTGGAAAGACATTATACAATTGAACTGTTTCTAGGTGCTACATCTAAGAAACTGTCAACGTTCTGCAGTGTATGAAATAATTTTGTTTTTGTGAGTTCTGTGTTCGTTCTTGGCATCCATTAACAGAAAAAACTATGATACTTGATTTGGATGCAAATTAAAGTAATTTGTAACTGCACTTCAAATATTATTATTGTAGTAATTAAAATCGGAAGAATGGACTAAGGATAGCTGTAGGTCCAAGAAGGCATCAAGAAGTTAATGATGATCCTAATAGTTGAAATTGATAGATACATATGACTAACCATGTATGTTTCCTTTCTCTTTGTGCCATCCATTACGGATGATTCTAATATATCAACTTTATGATTCAGTTTCTTCGAATCAGGTAAAGGGGGAGAGACAGATTCGCGATAATCGCGCTTCTTCATGGCTGTAAATTCAAAATTCAAACATACCAAGCATTAAGGCAATTGAAGATCATCAAGCACACTTTCTTCTTCATATTATTTTTGGCTTTAGCTAATACACTTTGTCATACAAAAAAAAAACAAGTTGAATTATTCCTTTGGAAAAGTAAGCTTCAAAACTGAGCTTTCCATACTCTTGGAAAGATTCTACCAAGTGTGAAGATATGGTGCCTTGACAAGAATTGTGAGATAGAATTTTATTTATTAATTATATTGCTGTTTATTTTTAAACAATTAAGATTTTTCTGTATTATAGTGTTAATGGTGAAAAATATGGAAGCACTAAGCCTGCGTATAAGCTGTACTCGAGTAAACAATCAAAATTTTGAAAGGATCAAAATTACAGATAACATATTAAATATTTAACTTGAACTGAAAAAGACAACATGTAGAATCTTGTATCCATAAAAAGAAACAAAAAGCAAAGCAACTTGAATAAGTTTTTGCTTCCATTCTAATCCTAAATTATGAATCCAAACAAAACGGGAAACTTCCAGGCAACAACTATTATCTCAAGTTAACATTAAACAGAGAGTTCCAACCAATTCACAGGAAATTAAACACAACACTTGAATATATATATATATATACATATAATTTTGTACAGAAAAAGTGATCCTTCATTTTGGTGAATGGTAGAATTTATATTTTGATGAACTAATTTATGATTTGGATTGATTAATTTATGTTAAATGCACTAATTTCTTTTATTTTTTTTTATTTGTTTATGGATTAGTATTTTATATTTTTAAAGTAGTTTTTGTTTATTGTGTTATTTGTTTAATTTTCAAGTAATTTAATAAAATAATATAAATATTTTTCTATTATTAAATATGAATACGAAATATTTACATATGTATATATGTACTGTACATTTTTGTTAAAAAATAAATTTAGAAGTTTGAAACTAATAAAAAATAAATATGATTGTACGTATGGAATTTTGTTGATGATTAATTTTTTACATAATATTAATTATTAAATTAATTCATAATATATAATTATTTTAAATACATTTTAATTTTTTATTTGTTGAAATAATTTTAAATTTAATATATTAATATATAATTACAACTGTTTGTCTTTAATATATAAAATAATTTTATTTTTATTAAAATTAAATTAATATAATAATATAAATAATAATTATTTATTTTATTAAATATAAAATTTTAATTTAATTATGTATAATAATTAATTATTTATTTATATACAAATATAATTATATTGATAAATAATTTTTTTTTTCTTACATACTACTTTTATACCATTTACTATTACATATAATATATATGAGTAAATTAGTAATTTGACTGAAAATACAACGATACCATCCTATCATCAAAATAAAAATATATCATTAACATACATTAATATATCATCATCTAAACGTAAAAAAAATTTTGTCATTCCAATTTTGTGTTATTGTCATTCAATTACTATTATTATTATACATTAATTAACCATCATTGAAATTTATCCAAACAAAACCTAAAAGTCTTTTTCATAGGAAATATTTACCTTTGTTTATGGTCCATATATCTAGACAAGAATATGAGAGTTTTCAGTCACAAATTATTATTAGTTAATAAATGCTCAAATAAAATTATTATTAGTTAATAAATGTTTATATTTGATTTAGGTTAGACATGAATAAAGGTTAAGGCTAGATTCTTTTTTTTTTGTTTGTCTCATGTGAATGAATTATATTAATCTATAATTATATTTGTCTATTTCTCAATCTAGAGAATTTCCTAGACCTTCAATTCGAAATTGTCCTTTAATAGGTGTTTGGGAATTAATATTGATGGCTCTACTATAGAAAAATATGGTCTTTATGTAACGACCCCATAAAATTCCAAATGTAATAAATTATAAATTTAGTGTGGAAGTTAAACAATAAATTAGAGTTTAAATTCCTTACACAATAATTGAAAGTACTAAATAGGGCTTACGAGAATAATCCTTCTAAAAGAACAACTAATAACCATAGAAATGAATTAAAAGTAAACAACCTGAACGTCTTACTAGCAATTCTTTTGTGGATCGAGCTCTAGATCTTGGTACTCTTGATCTGAAATGTTTAATGAAAGAGTGAACTACACTATCCCAGTAAGAATATCACGCTACTTACCAACACAGAAATGAATGTTGGTAGAAATCATAAAAATAACTAATAGAGCTTCTTGATTTAAGTAAATTCGTTTGTCATGAATAAAATCATTTACCACATACTTACAGTAGCGAGATTACCAAAAATAACCTATAGATTCAATAACATAACACATATCATT